GGATGTCCCATGATTTTAAAATTGCTTCTTTACTGATTTAGGTTCGTCCTTGCTTGCTTTCTAAAACTTATGAAGTAAAAATTTGTTTGCGAACAGATCTTTGTGTGCACATGGTAGTAGTTTTCATCACCAGTGGAAGGAAACAAGCAAGATAGGCTCGTTCAGCCTTTCCTTTGCCACTTAATTTGTGAATGCCCTAAATGCCATTAGAATGTGTTTTCAGATGTCCTCTAAGAATTTCCCACCCGAACATAATACATTATCAGGAGCATGTTTTTCTTTCTCAATAGTGAGTCCAGGTGAGCATACTTTGCAAGTATACCCAAAAGATAACGTTGCCACTCATCTTGGATTTTATTTTGGGCAGGTAAACAACACTTTTGGTTCATTCTGAGTCATAAGAAAATGGAAGTCATGTACCAACCTGCAGGACAGTTCAGAACATAACCTCTGATGTTTCTCAGAAAACAAATCTACAAGCCATCATTAAAATTATATACTTCAGTTAGTATAATTATAAATGAGGAAATGAACCAGGCTACTTGTCCTTGAAAGTTGACAGTGCAGGCCTACATAGCGCTGATTTCTCATGTAGAGGCCTTTTACAAAGCAATGACTCTACTTTAGAATATATAATCCCTAGGGGTTCCAGAGTGGCTCAGTCGGTTAAGTGTCCAACTTTGGTTCAGGTCGTGATCTCACAGTTCATGAGTTTGAGCCCCATGTCAGGCTCTGTGCTGACAGCTCAGAGCCTGGAGCCTGCTTAGGATTCTGTGTCTCCCTCTGTCTCTGCCCCTCCCCCACTAGCGCTCTGTCTCTGTCTCTGTCTCTCTCTCTCTCTCAAAAATAAATAAACATAAAAAAATTAAAATATATAATCCTGAATATTGTAAGTACATTCTTTGCATGACATTTGTCATATAAAAATAATTTGCCTCTTCATAGTTTATTTTTCCTTTGTGGCACATTCTGAACTGCAGAATCCTTTATCTACCATTTGGCTTTCCATAAACTATCAGGCAGGATCTCTGTGAAATTCTCTACTCTGAGAAACTATGTGCCTAATATTTATTTTTGATGTATGACTCATAATTACATTATTATATGTTCTGTTTTCAAAATAGCATCTGATAATTCAGTGCCTTTTAACAACAGATAACGTGTTTTCTAGAGAGTTTTTCCAGAAATCCAAACGTTTCTTGGGGTTCTTTCCAGGCTTCATTGGATTTATGTTTGGCTTTTTAAAATTTTTACTTTTTTACTAATTATTTTTAATGTTTTATTTTTTATTTTTTTTAAGTTTATTTATTTTGAGAGAAAGAGCACAAGCAGGGATGCGGCAGAGAGAGAGAAGAGGCAGAGAATCCCCAGCAGGCTCTGTACTGTTAGCACGGGGCCTGACAACAGGGCTTGAGCTCTCACATCGTGAGGTTATGACCTGAGCTGAAATCAGGAGACAGACACTTAACTGACTGAGCCACCCAGGCGCCCCTAATTTTTTTCTATATTTTAATAATTAAAAAAAATTTTTAGAGTGAGTCAGGGAGAGGGGCAGAAGGGGGAAAGAGAGAGAGAGAGAGAGAGAGAAAGAGAATCTCAAGCAAGCTCCACACTCACTGTGGAGCCCGATGGTGGGGCTGGGGCTCAATCCCATGGCCCTGGGCTGATGACCTAATCTATTATCAACAGTTGGATGTTCAATTGGCTGAGCCACCCAGACGCTCCATGTATTTTTTAAATACATGGTATTTAAATACCATTTTTAATTTTAATACCATTTCTGGTATTGTTTAAAAATCAAGGACTCAACCAAGTTTTCCTTAAGTTTTTGTTTGTTTTAATTTTACAATGTAACTACTCATTGACGTAATACATTTGAGTTTACTCAATACTCCTCGTTTAGAACTTTCATGGCTGAGATGTCCTTAGGCTTAAGAGTAAATTGGCCAGCTTCTGTGACATGTTTCTGGTCTTTGAAGTTGGCACAGTCCATTATAGCTACCTAAGGGTTGTGTGTGGCCATGGAAAAACATGTTTTTGTTGATGTGTTCTCGCTTTCTAGTAACTTTATTTTCTGCTCAAGGGATTTAGTATCTGTTCAGATACTTTATTTTTAAAGGCCACATAAGTAGTGACTTGATCTCTAATCTTAGCTTTGAAAATTTCCCAGACACTAATAAAGGTAATGTCTGATGACCTATTATTTGAGGATACCACTCACTGGACAGCAATCAGTGCTATTTAAACATGTATATTTTATTCTGCAAATCATTTTCCTGGTAAAAGGCTGTTAGTAAAATTGTGCATGAAATGACATAATTTTGTGACTTTTGGGCCTAGATTTATAATACTTTTTACATGGTGTCACCGAGAGCTAATACAGTTGTAAAACACTTTGCTCTTCAAATACTGTACTAAATAATTAGTACTGAGAAGAAATATTCTATAAATCATAGTCTCATCAGAAACAGCACACCTGTCTTTTGGACTAATAGTAATATTTTGGACACAAAGGATTATATAGTAATCCTTGTTTTACGTAGAAGTGGGCTGTCTTTGCAGTGATTATATGAGTAAGATTTTTATAAAGGATTAAGTTACTAAAGACCACGATAATCAGTTAAATTATCTGGACTGTCCACATCAGGACATTAACAAGTTTAATTATTAGTGGAATGAAAGAGAAATTTACCAGATTGTATTATATATGCCAAGATGTATTCACTCATAAAGAAGAGGTGGAGGGAAGCAGTTTTCCCCCAGGTGTGGAAAAAACGCTGGAGGACAAAGCTGGAGTTGCCATTTTTGGTCTGTTTTTACTTGTTTTATATTTATGATAATGGATTGTCTTGGTAAAAACCTACCCTGGACACAGTGGTGGTTTTGTTGTTGTTTGTTGTTTTTTGAGGTTGGTAGAGAAAACTGCATATTGCTGCCTTGATATGTTGTCTCTTTGTTAAAAGCAGATGTACAGATCAGTGAAACAGGGTAGAGAACCCAGAAGTAAACTCATGCACATATGGTCAATTAATTTATGGTGAAGGAGGGAAGAATATACATTAGGGAAAGGAGGGTCATTTTCAATAAATGGTATTGGGAAAACTAAGCTGTGATCGCACATCATATACAAAAATTAACTTAAAATGGGTTAAAAACTTCATTGTAAGACTTGAAACCAATAAAACTCCTAGAAGAAAACATAGTAAGCACCTAGTATCGTCTTCGTGATTTTTGTGGGGGCGGGGGGCAGGGTGTGTGGGAGCAGTGTTGAACTCCAAAGCAGGTGTAATAAAAGCAAAAATAAATGGTTGGGGTTACATTAAACTAAAAAGGTTCTGTACAACAAAGGAATCCAACATAATGAAAAAGTAATTTACTGAATGGGAGGAGAAATTTGCAAATCATGTTTGATAAGGGGTTTATATCCAAAATATATAAAGAACTTCTGTTAACTCAATAACAACAACAAAAAAAACCAAACAATCCACTTAAAAAATGGGCAGAGCACCTGAATAGACATTTTTCCAAAGAAGACATCCAGATGGCCAACAGACATATTAAAACACACACACACACACACACACACACACACACACACTAGAATAGTACTCAGCCATGAAAACGAATGAAATATTGGCATTTATGACAACATGGGTGCACCTAGAGGGTATTATGCTAAGTGAAATAAGTCAGATAGAGAAGGACAAATACCAAATAATTTCACTATGAGTGGAGTCTGAAAATGGGGAACAAAAGAAACAAAACCCCAACTCACTAGTGGAAAGTCTCTACAAGGAGAGGAGAGGAAGTGTAGAGAGGCTGCTGGGGGGACAAAATTGGTGAAGGGGATTGAGAGGTACAAATATAAAATATAGGTACAAATATAAAATAGAGAATTGAGAGGTACAAATATAAAATAACTAAGTCTTGGTTGTATAATGTACAGCATGGGGAATACAATGAGAGGTAACTAGATTTATTGTGGTAATCAGTTTGTAGTATATACAAATATTGAATCACTGTGTTGTACACATGAGATTAATAGAATATTGCTTGTCAATTATACTTTAATAAAAACAACAAAAAGAAATGATGTTCTTTGTTGTTAAACTCTAAGTTTCATGCAAAGAGAAGAAACCATCTGCTTATTAAATGTGATCTTTCATTGAAATCTGTTACAGCCTAGTTGGGCCCTTGGTTTGAGTTGAAAGGAAATAATTCATTTCACTTTTTTGAGTCTACAAAATAGTTTATTCTTCCTTTCCCTACAGCAAGAATTATGAACATAAGTGTACAAAACAGATTCAATGCTAATTTTTAAAGCTTCCCCATATTTCCATTCTCATTAGTTATAAATAATGTGCTTGATTGTAAAATGGAAAAAGTTGAAATTTTCCACTTGTGCCTTTTGAGCTGTTTTCAGAGGTATTATACACTCTGGAAATAATAATAAAAGATACTAGGCTTTATACAGTGCTTTTTGTTTGAGGAACTCATATAAACACTAATGCATTGATCCTAACACAGTACTTGATTGTGACTTTAAAAGGTCATGAGTTACTGCTGTTACAAAAAAGTTAAAAAAGATTGGAAGGGGAGCTCCAATATACAAATACTAAATATCTAGAGAAAAGTTGATACAGACAATTGAAAAAATAAAATTATGGGGGATTTTTATTATTTAACTTTTCTCTTAGCCTGTGATAGATTTTTATCCCTTTTAATTTTTTAAATTTGTTTATGAATCTTGCTTAAAGCCTGATTCCCTTCTTAGACAAGAAAGCAGAATTTTCTTTTAAACTTTAGTCTTTCTCAGCCAAGAAGGCTTAAACCTGTGGTGGTTTCCCAAGTATGTCACATGAGCATAGCAGTGTATTTTATTGGTCCTTGAATTAGGAGATCATCTTTTTCATTTTCTTTGTTTAATATTTGTGGTATGTAGCTGTTGATTTTGATTATAGTGGTCATGTGGCTTAATTGTCAACTTTTTTGTTTCGTAGGTTTATTCTTCAGTCCAAGGAGGTAATTCACAATCAACTGTTAGAGAAACAGAAAATAGCAGAAGAAAAAATTAAAGAATTGGAAGTAAGTTTTGAGTCCATATTGACAGTAGTAAATTTTAAGAAAAAAAATAATTACCTCAACTTTGTCATGTTAAATGAAAATGTATGCCTGCCATTGTTTTCATTTTTTCGAATTGTGTTAGAGCAGTGAAGCGGTCATGGCAGTGTGTAAGACCTCCACCCCCACCTCCCCCCCACCCCCCCCAGCGCCCCATGAAAGAAAGGAAAGGAAGACAGAAAAATGGTTTGTTGCAACTGTAGAGACTTTTGAAGAAGATGGGATGCTTTTAATATGAATGTATTTTCTCCATTGCCTTTGAATGAACATGTCTGTTCTTAAAAACAAAGTAAGACACACGGTGTATATTTAAACATCACATATTGTGGTAGATAGGCATGAGAGTAGGTAATGATAATAGTATTTAAAAGATCTCGACATAGGTCTTTTTTATATATTGTAATTCCTTTAATATAGATTAGGTATAACTATCTGAATGATGGTGCTGCAGTGAGGAAAACGAGTCGTTTTTTTTTTTTTTTTTTTTAGCTAGGGAAAAAGATGATGGGTAAGAGTAACTTATTACATTTTTGGAAAATTGAATTTTACTACATTTTCTGTATACATTAAAACCTTTGATGAGATACTCTTCTTGGGATTGAGTGGAAGGTCCATCCTGTATATAGTAAAAGTTGGCCTGGGCAAGAGACTGGTTATTATTTCTTTGGGGCCAAGATTTCCTGAAATGGGGATGGTTACAATGACTTCATAGGTCACTTTATCTAATTTGTGTGAGTACTATTTGAGGCAGTATTTCAGAATCTGACTCAGCTCTCTGTGGAATTGGTGAGACACCCCTTGTAGCTTCCCCGGGGATTTCTTAGGGGAACCAATTTGGCATGGCCTGAGTGAGTGTGTAGTGTCTTAGGTTACTTAGGTTTATTTTTGTTTAACTACTGATCATAATTTAAACAAACTTGATAATTTGTAGCTTAGAAAGTGTATTGAAAAAATAATAAATAAGCATGTAAACAAATAAGGACAAAAAAATCCTTATCCTTTAGTAACCAGGTTGTTATCATGTCCTATTTGTCATTTTTGTTAGCCCAGCTGTTCTAGATTGAATTTTATATCTTCTGTTTTCAAACAAAATAACTTTAAAAACTCCAATTAAAACTATTTCATGTTAGATAACCAAAAATCTGTTTTTGTAGCATTAGGTAAATACATCTAAAAATGATCCTGATGAATAAGTAGCCAGATAGAAAGTAATGTGTATATAATTCTCTTTTTATGAAAACACAAAAAATAAGATCTGTATATGAATGGCAAAAATGATGTCAGTATATACATTAAATTAACACTGGTTCCCCTAATGAAATTAATTTAGATGATGGGCATGAAATTATTTTTTCTTATAATCTTTGTGTTGGATAAATTTTAACACGTATGTGTTAACTTTTTTTTTTTTTTAATATTTATTTTTGAGAGAGTGCATGAGCAGGGGAGAGGCAAAGAGAGAGGGGGACAGAGGCCAAAGTGGGCTCTGTGCTGACAGCAGAAAGCCTGATGCGAGGTTGAACTCACAGACCATGAGATGATGACTTCAGGTGAAGTCGAAAGCTTAACCAACTGAGCCACCCAGGCATCCCTGTGTTAGCTTTTGTAATTAAAAGAATATTAAAGGTAAAATTGCCACAGCTGATGATTTTAGCATACTGTTCAGTTTTGAAGAGTATTAAGAAATTTTTTTCCCCAAAGTTACCTTTTTTGGAGTTTCTCATTACTGGTAGAGTGTCCTGACAAGTGTCAGGTAACGGAACTAGAATAGCTGGCTCCGAACTAGAATAGCTGGCTCGTTGGTACCCATTTGAAATGCTAATTACAGCTAGGAAAAACTAGTGGGGTTAAACTCTAGGTTCTTCCCTAGAACATTATATTGTGTCTTTTTTCTTTTTAATTTTTTATTTTACATGCTTTTTATATTATAAAAGCATTATTAAGTGTACTATAAAAGAAAAAAGGTCAAAAAATAAAACATGATTAAATGAAAATACTACTTTCCCCTCTAGCCAACACACCTGCAGATGTCACCCCTGGAGTTTTGTGGGTATCATTCCAAACTTTATTTTATAAACCCATTCATACACACATGTATATACTTTTTAAAAATAGAGAGGTATTATGCTGTATATACTGTTTTTCATCATTTTACAATTTATCTTTCCACCTGTAGTTTATATTTCCCACCTTCTTATTTTCCACTTCTCTTAACCATTGTAGGTTCCTTATTACCTCAGCATTTAATTATTGCATGATCCCTACCTCTACATTTAGTATGCTTTCCAATACTGCTCTAATTTGTATTTTTAATAGTATCATCTACTACACACTCTGTTCTCTCCCCTGAAGCAATGCTGTATTTTGCACTGCCATACTTGCATAGTTTTGTTACTTCAGCCTGAAACGAATGTGCACTAATGCACACATACATTGTTTTTTTTGTTTTGTTTTTAATTTTCTTTCTTTATTTTAGACAGAAGGAGAACGAGTGAGCATGAGCTGGGGAGAGGGGCAGAGGGAGAGAGAGAGAATCTTAAACAGGTTCCACGCTCAGCAAGGAGTCTGTCACAGGGCTCGATCCCATGACCCTGGGATCATGACCTGAGCTGAAATCAGGAGTTGGATGCTCAATAGCCTGAGCCATCCAGATGCCCCAACACATACATTGTTGTTAATTGTAGTGTTCAAATTCTCTGTGTTTCTTACTGATTTTTTTTTTCCTGATTATTCAGTTAATTATTGAGAGATGTCAAATCTCCCTCTATGGTGATACTTCCCAATTTCTCCTTAGTCTTTCAGTTTAGTGGACAGTGGTGTTTAGAGACCACTGTCTGGGTATTATAAGTGCTCATTATTACTGTATACATAGTTCAGAGGATAGGTTTAATTTTGCTTTATATATGAAGGAATTTCCCAGGTCTTTTAAAGTATTCCACTGACTCTGGCTTCCATTGTTGCTGTTGAGAAGTCATCTGTCAGCTTAGTTGTTGTTTCTTTTTTTTTTTTTTTCCACTGGTTCCTTTTAATATTCTCTTTGTCTTCATGCTTTGTAGTTTCTTTGGGATATGTTTATGTGTGGGGTTAGTCTTTTTATTTATTTTTTTAAGTTTATTTATTTTGAGGCAGGGGGTTGGGGGATGGGGAGAGAGAGAATCCCAAGCAGACTCCATACTGTTGTCACAGAGCCCAGTGCGGGGCTCCATCTCTCAAACTGTGAGATCATTACCTGAGCCGAAATCAGGAGTCAGACTGTTAACTGACAGAGCCTTCCAGGCGCCACCCCCCACCTTTTAATTTTTTTTCTTAATCCTACTTGGCTTAAGTTGGGTTTCCTGAATCTGAGGATTAAGATCCTTTATCAATTCTGGAAAATTCTTAGTATTTCTGAAAATTACTTCTTTTCCTGTTTTCTCTATTAGGTGGTATTTCTTTCTGGAATTTTTCCCCCTACTTTTAAACTAGAATGACCTTTGTAAAACGTTATAAAGTGTGGTTCTGTTACTTTTCTGTGTAAAGCCCATCATTGTTCTTAGGATAAAGTTCACACTTGTTAACATACTTTCAAGGCTTTTTTGTGAAAGGACTCCTGTTTATTTCTATTATCTCCCTCATTTCCTTTGCCTTTCTTACACTGTATACTCCACCCATTCAGGAATATTCTGTTTTTAGAACTTGCTGTGCTTTCTTTGTTTCTACTTTCTTTGCAAAAACTAGTTGACTCCCCTGGGGAGCTTTCTCCTTCTGCAGTTATTACCAGTTCTATATATTAGTTTTTAAGATCTTAGCTTAGGGCTCCTTATCCAAAGAATCATTTTCTGATTCCTCAGTCTTAAATTAAGTCCTTTTTCCTTGTTCTCCCTAATGATTTCATTAGTTTCATAGCATAGAGTGGTAATTTGGACATATAAGCTATTGCCAGCTGAAGTACTTACAAATAGGGTTTCCTATTACTTGGAAAGCTTGCCATAGATTCAGAGCACTAAGTAGTTCTTCCTAAGGAGTAGCTGTTGCTTCTCCTTTCAGATTGACAGTGTTTTTTTCTGGGCCCTAGCATTTCTTGTCAGTTCAACCTGTTTTGTCTTAATCCTATGTACTTATCGTCATCATTAAATTTTTGCCCTAAAATACCTTACTGTATAGTTGGGGAGGCACAGTTTATACATAAGTCAGCATATAAAGGCCAGGCTGTTTCCATTAAGCATGTTTTCATCTTAGAAGGAGTAAGACTGTTTTGTGTCTGGGTGTGTAGTTTGAGTTTTTGACCAAAGCTCTTAAATTGGTCGAATTTGTATGTCTCCTCACTCTCTGCCAGCAATGTATACAGATGACACTGTGGATAACCCTTTTTAATTATATAGGTACTTGTCTGATTCATCTTCTCTCCTATGAGAACCCATTTTCATTAGTATTTTCTAGACTCCTTTTCATCCATGTCTGTTCTTACTGTTTACGTTTACCTTCTGCAGATTTTCTCCTTCTGTCTTTATTTATGAGTTGAAAGCTTACTTAGAATTTGTTTGGCTCTTGATAAACTCTCTTATGCTGTGCTACATTGTCAAGCAGTTTAGTGGGCTCACTTGCTGAGCCTTTCCTTTTATGCAGCAGAGGTGGGAGTACTATAACCCTGCCCTCATGTTCCTTCGATAGGGAGTTTTCTTTACTTACTGGAAGGGTAAAGGAAATTACTATCTTTTTGGGAAGATAGTTTTATTGTCTTTTTCTTCTTAAAACTCCATGTTTACAAGTTAATACCCACATGGTGTGCCATTCTTCTGGCTGTAATTGTTTTACTGGGATTGATTGGAAAATATTTTCATAACAGACTCATAATATGATAATCTTGCATGGAGTTTTAGTTTTTCTTTGTATAGATGATAGATCAGGGTCTTGGAGGAATAATCACCAATTTATCCTGATGGTGATTAGTATAGACCAGTGAAGCTGATTCTATTTAAGAGAAA